TAAAGGAAATGACAAAAAATTTATTGTTTGAAAATAATCGATTATTTTCAATGATCACTCATCCCTAGCGACCAAATGACTTTTAATAGATTTAAATTTTAAAATGTTATCTGGTTTCAGACATATGCATTTCTAGAGTTTTATGTGACTCATCCTTTATAATAATTAATATTCTTAAAGAAAGAAGCCTTAATATACTTTTTTCTGAGGTTACAATACAAAACAGCATTTTCTCATTTTGACTAATTTTTAATAATATGTAATAGCCGTAGAAAAAATATAATGTTCAACTCATAAGGCTAGATTTGCAGTATTAGCCTGCGCACATGCTATTTTTATAATACTCGTAGACAATGAGTAACATTTTTTGCTCTATTAACAATATATTCTATTTCAACATTTTACTGTAATCTCTTGCAGAAAAGTCCATAGTAAATAAACGCTAACAAAATATTCTATAAAAGGTCTTCTCTTTACATAAAATGTCGTGGCATCTGTTTGATATTAAAAAATCACGTTAATTTTATTTCATAATACAAAATTCGGTTAAACACCTTTTAAATAAACCTAATAGTTCATTAAGATGCTAATAAACAAAGTCCGGTCCCTGTCACAGAGTTCGGGACGCCGCGTGTCGCCGCCCAGTTCCCCCACTCCGTTAACCCTTCTTTAGAAATTGGCAACATTTGCGCAGGTTTAAAACCGGTGTATGTTATATCTCTGGTCTCTTTTATCTAAGGCAGAAACTTAACGTCAAAATAACATTTAAAATTAAAATCAGAGTACGCCAAAATTCCCAATTGTTGTTCATATGAATAACCTAACAATGCACCATAAATTATATTATAACTATCGATGACAAATTGTTACTTATTTTATGTTTAAAATTCTAATTACAGAAAGTGAGTAATATGTATTAATATATTTACATTTATGCGATTGTGTCAAACTGAACCACAATCGATTATTGGATTACCTAAAATGTTAATGTTTGCAATAAAAAATGCCATTTTACATTTCTATGCATTTTACGTTCTATTAAAATTCAGAACTGTTATTTCCAGTGGCGTAGACTTACATTGACCATTACCACTGCTAACTATCCAAATAATTACCGAGTTCGAATGGCCCAGACTTATACAGGGTGATACATTGGGAAACGAACATTCGTAAACTGTGGAGGAAGGCCACCGATGTGATTCTAAATAACTCCTGTTTAATGGGTCTTTGGTCGTTTATAACCGAGATATAGGGTGTTTTTATCATTTGTGTCTATTTCTTTTTTCGGTCTTAACTATTCACAAGCTCATAGATTTTTTTGATGATTAGTCTACATGTCATTGATAATATAAAAATTAACAAATTCTTCGACCCTGAAATCAACACCCTGTATATTTGATTTCCTATAATTTATTTCATATTTAAAAACAGCTCAGAAACTGAATTCAACGATTTTATTTTTATATGGAGGCAGACTAGTTTAATTATAGTATATTACATAACAAGAGCAGTAAGAAGCTAAGTACACGGGAGTAGAAAAGTTGCGCACGAGCCGCGGTAGCGAGTGCAGTATTTCTACATTTATTAAATACATTTAATTAAAAATATTGTAAATTGTAAATGCAAATACTAAATTAACTGAAGAAAAATTTAGATACAAACCTTTGTTAACATTATTGTGAATCAAGAACTTTATTTAAATATTTGCTTTATCATAAAGAAAATTATGATTACTTTTTGAGGAATACTTTTAATTTTGGGTACGTTTCAATATTCAATTTATTTTGTATGGAAATGATGATTCTTGACATATAATACATTGGCCATAATGATAAAGGTTTCAATTGTTCCATAAGTTCCTCCAAATATGCCAAAATCACATTCTCAGAAAATGAGTTTACATTGTTTTTTATACGTCAGTCCATAAACTTTTGATATACCTTGCCCTTAATATTGAGGGCAATAACTTGTTAGTAGTATTAGAAGCTTTTTCAAGAATACCAGGAGAAGTTCCTTAAAATTTATTTTTACTATCTAACGAAATCATTTTATTCCTTAAAATAATAATTTTGTAACCTCAAGTTACATAACAGTTTTGGGATTTCCTTACGTAACAGTATGTGTAATGATGTATTTATTAATAAACAAAACAATGCATAATAGACGATTTACTGTGGTGGTTGTAGATAAAATATATTACGTTACATCAAGATTATTTAAGATAACTATGTAAATTTTTAAAAGTCACAATTAAGTTATAGTCTAATCAATTTAATATTTTTTTAAAGAATTAATTTCCAGCAAGATGGAAATCATTTTAATACCTTTATTTGGTCCCAAATGCGTGTAATCTAAGTTTGCACCATCACAGGAGGTGAGCATAACTTTTGATAGCCAAAAAACCGCCAAATGTTTACATTTTTTCAGTTTTTTTGCTTGTAGCTGGAAAACGATGCGTAGGATAAAAAATGTCATTCAATTTAATATTAAAAAGAATTAAATTCTGCTTCGAATGACTTCTAAAACTTTTAATTCAGTTCAGTTGTATAGCCAAAATCAATAGTTAGAAACGGGGAAAAATGTTCATTTTGGTGCCACCTTACATTTTGCGGCTTCTAAAGCTGCTAAAGCAATGTATTCTTCTGAAAATGTGGTGTTCACTTAAACGATGACTGCAACCATGCCGAAAGAACAATATCCTTCAACGACAATAACAAAAAACGGCTTATTTCTATGCTGCGTGTGAAATTGGTATTGCATTGGTCTGAAGTAAGGCTAAGTATTGAGGATGCCGACACCCTTATTGCCAACACTCCCATTCAATTGGCAGATAACTTTGCGATAGTCATCATAATCGAGGAGGACACCGATTTATTGATCCCATTAACCATCTAAGAACCAAATTCATCAAATATTTACGTCATGAAATCTGGAAAGGCAACCTTTCAGAACACATTCTGCTCTCCCAGGTATTTCAACTTCTCGTCTGTTGTCAAACAGAACTTTCTATTCCTACATGCAATTAGTGGGTGTGATACAACCTCTTCATTCTATCGCCAAAGTAAGTTGAAGTTTGTGAAACTCCTTCAAAATAACATGACATTACAAGAGACTGTCAACGTTTGCAGATGCTGATCATGAGGTTCTCATTTTAGCAGGTTAACTGTTCTTGGCAACTCTCTATTCACCTAATGCAGATGAGACCTCCTTGGACAAAATCCGCTACGAGATATTTTCAAAATCCCTTACAAATTCAACTTTCAATCTAGACTCTCTACCTACAATAAATGCAGCCTCAATACGCCTCAACTACAACGGCCAGTCATGCTCGAATTCAGCACTCTTCGAAGATGAGAGGGTGTGACCCACATTGTCGTATAACGTGAAAACTTATTCCGTAAAACTTTTATTCCATGAGTTTTTTTAATAGTAGTAGCTGTTTTCAAGATATGTGGTCTTCAAAAACTACAAAATGTAAGTTTGCAACGAAATAAGAAATTTAGTCTTAATGTATTTGACGCCAATGGTGACCAGCAGTGGAATTCTTATCTTTCAATACGTTGGGACGCCGTTCTTCGTTCGACAGAATGCGATTCTTATGTAATGTCTCTCTTTTCAACTCGTTACGTGTTGAGTTCGCACATAAGTATCCCTGTTCAGATTGGAATGGTCATGAAAAATTATTAAATAGTCAGATTGGAGAGAATTATCATGATGAGAAATTAGAAATTTTTAGATTGTCAGATGGTTCTCGAATTATTAGTGGGATTTTATAAGAAAAAGGTTAGCTGGGATTTTATGTTATATGTATAGTATGAAAATGGAGAGTTAGTTATACATTATAAGAAATACAAGTTAAAAAAGTAATAAGAAGATAAAAAGACAGTTTTAATTGAAATAAAGAGAAAGGTGAAACATTCGTAGAAAGAAGAGTTATTCAAAAGCAGGAGTAAAAGATCGAGATTAAAAGAAGGCAGACAGCACCAGGTAGAGAGCAGGAAATATAGAAAAGGAATTCAAACAGAAGACACAGTTATAGGAAAAGGATTAAGACCAGAAGATTTTTTTATTTTTCAATTTTTTTATTTTATTTCAAAATTTATATTTAGGATTTTTTTTAATTACCTGGCCAACTAAATTACACTTTTTGACTGATGAATGACTTATGTCACATATTTACTAATTTTAAGTCGCTGATTCTAAATATACCCTACTTTTTTCCTGACAGCTCATGTTTACAAGTTATAGCTTTCACTAAAAATTCGCTGTTATAGTGTTTATTCGCAGTTTATTTAATAATAATTATTGAATTATAATACATACCTATTTAATTTTATTTGGAAATAAAATTAATTTATAATACTCTTTAACGACCCCTCTGTTGTACGACCGCGGACACCCCCTTTAGTTTCTTAGAACATACTTATAAAAGTAAAAGTACCTCTCTTTAATGACCGGTAAAACCCTATTTCAGAATTCTTAAGAAATGATCTTTTGTTATTTTAGGGGAAGGTTTAGTAAGACAATAGTGAAATTATCTTTCATGTTTGAATTATTGTTTTATTTTGTAATTTGATATGGCATCGTCAAGAAGAGCATGTGTGAATGATTCAAATAATTTTTGTTTCATTTGCGGGGAGTATGTATTTAAAGAATACTATTTAAATGTGACAACGTTCGTAAATGAGGCTTACAAAAATTACTTTGGGCACCTGCTGGACATGAAGAATAAGCCTTGGATTCCGCAAAAGCTATGCAAAACATGCGTTGAGTTCCTACGTTTATGGACAAATAAGAAATGACATAGCTTCATGTACAAAACCGCTATGATTTCGAATGAACCCATGAACCACCATGACGATTGTTATTTTTGTTCGGTGAACATAACTGGTATTAACCGAAAAAATCGAGCCAAATGAAAATATATTTCCATACAATCGGCACATAGACGTGTCCTGATCCCTAAGTCTACACCAGAACCTCGATCTGGTACTTTACAGGAAGAGCAAGAAGATTTTGAGACGAAAAACGACAGTAGTGATAGTGACTTTGAATGCGACCTGGGAACGCCAAAAACATTAAATCAAGATGATTTAGAAGATTAAGTAGAGATCTGGGAATGTCAAAGTCAGTTTCAGAAATTTTGGCTTCAAGGCTAAAAGAAAGAAAATTGGTAACGAAAGAAACTAAAATTTCTTATTACCGCACAAGAGAACAGAATTTCCTCAAATATTTTGCTG